TTGTTGAAAGAAATTCTTCTTTTGTTACTTTTGACAAAAGTACTCTTGCGTGGTTCAATACATCATTCAAGTTGATTCCGAATATTTTGACTTGCGATTGTAGCTGCTTTGAAATTTCTCCAGGCAATCCAGTTATAAAAGCTCGTTGCAACAATTCTTCGTTTTCAACTTTGGCCAACTGCATAAGTTGACGCAAACTGGCCATATATATATCAACGGATTCGCCTTCGTTCCATCTGCGATCCCTGAACAGCTCGTAGGCTTCGAAAAGATCAACCGCAAATGCATCCAACAAGGCTTTTTTGATATCCACGGCGGAGGCTTTCTCGTTTTCGCTAAGTTGTTCATACAAAGCAAATGCATCTCCTTCCAGAAACAACGGAATTATTAACGACAGATCGCCCATCTTTTGAAGCTCTCCGACCAGCTTGACTTTTTTCAGCCACACAACAACATCGCCAGACCCATCAAATTTTCCGATTATTTTTGCCATGGATGACATATTGCCGAAATAGCTTGTAAAACGACAACTATCTTTACTTTTTATGAACTCTGTTCTTTTTCATACTATTTACAATTTTTATACATTTCATCAACAACAAAAGCTCCCTTGGGATAATTATGTACAAACAAAAAGTAAAAAAGAAATTACGACATATTTACACTAAGGATTTGTAAACGCTATTAAATTATAATAGCGTTTACAAATTAGCTATTAACAATATATATATATATATATATATATATATATATATATATATATATATATATATATATATATATATATATATATATATATATATATATATATATATATATATGTATATATATATATATATATATATATATATATATATATATATATATATATATATATATATATATATATATATATATATATATATATATATATGTTTAAATGGGCTGCAGCGAGGGAGGAGGGTCAAAAGCAACTCTCCCTCCTCCCCAACAACAACAAAAAATTTATATCAAGCCAAAACTTAGTTAAAAATTGTAGGATTGTAGGTTATGATTTCCATTTATTTTTCACAAGTTTTTTTTCAATATTTTTGAATAATAAATAATAAACATCGCAAGCAAAAAATCCTAAAATTTGTCATATATTGGGTATTTATTTTTTCATGAAAAGCTACAACTCTAATTTTCAATTTAATAATTAATCTAAAGATATATAAGTCAATACATTAAATTAAAAACCATAATATAAAAAGTATACATACAATACAGAATAACAAAGATATGATTAAATGCGGTATAAAAGCAACACAAATATAGTTTTAATATGGTATGGTTTGCATTGAATATTAGTTCCTTTGTTTTAACTATTTGCGGCTGATTTTTTTAGAAACTATTAAACGATAATAGATATTCAAAATATACTATAAATATAATGATTTATTGCAGACTTTACAATTAACATTTTAAATTTTAAATTTACTAAATTGTGCATTTTTTCAAGTATTTTTATCAAATTAAATATATAGAACTTTTTACAGTTTTTTTGTTCATAACAAGTACAACTTAACAAGGGGAGGGGGCCTTTATAATCTAAAGGTGGGTGGGAAAATTTTCCAAAAAATAATAAACATCAACTTCCATGTATTAAACACATAAAAGTACCACCTTTTTTTTTCTTTGATTTTTCATAATTCCTATTTTATGAGTAACAAATTTAAGTTAATTTATAACCAATAAAGTAAATAAATTAATGTAACTTTTTTATTTGTTCTCGCTAATTTTTTTTAAATAAAAAAATCATTTGTAGTTGCAAAGCTTCAATTAGAAATTTAATAAATAATCATTTTAAAAATTCAAAAATTTAACATATTTTAAATCATTTATGCAAATGTCGAGAATAGAAAGAAATTTGTTAATATCAAACATATTTAAAAATGCAATATTAAATTTAATTGTTTAATATTTAAAAAATATAAAATAAACAATCTCTTATGGTAATAATAAAAAAGCCGTTTGATAACTTTTAACTTATTTTGCAGTAATTAATATTATTGTAGTAATTTAAAAAAGTTAATGTCTTTAAAAAATTAAAAAATAAAGAGAAGTTTATGACGGCAAATATCACATTAAGCTAATGCACTAAGCATTTTATATTTAAAACAAGGCCTGTATATATATATATATATATATATATATATATATATATATATATATATATATATATATATATATATATATATATATATATATATCATACATATAGCAGAATGCTAGGCCAGAATGGCCTAGCATTCTGCTATATGTATGCTAGTCTTATTTTTCTAATGTGATTGTCTTGCACTATACCTTTTTGGTACATATTATTTTAAACAATACAATTTAGTTTTTTGTTATTATTAAAGATATCTTTTGTAGATTGCAACAATGCACGACACAATATTCGATGACATAATTATATTATACATGTGTTATTTTGTTTTATAATAGAGTAATGTGTATAAATGGTAAAATAATACATCAACTAAAGGCCTTAAAGTATACACAAAAGTATGAATTGACACGGAAATTGTGAAATCTGAAGTTGATAAATATGCTAAAAAACTGAAGACATATTTTATGAACTTTTTTTTTAATAGCATCATGCAAATGGGTTTAAATATTATTGCTTTAAAAATAGAACTTAATTCATTTGTTCTTATAGTTCTAGCATACATAGCAAACTAGTTTCTTAATTATATAACCTGATAAAAATCGTGAATAAATTGTGTATCAAAACTGTCAATTGTTAAATCGTTATAAAAGATGTTTTTTCCAACAATGATTCTGAAAATAAAGATACAATAGTTGTATAAAAACTTTTTTTTTAACTTTTTTTTTTGAATTTACTTTTTTAATTATTAAATTTTTTAGTTTATTTAATTAAACTTGATATTTGTTACAATTTATTTCCAATTCCTTGGATGGCTTTTATTTTCTGAGTAAATAAGTTTGGCTTTTTGCAGCGAATTATTGAAACGCTTTATAAGTTAAAAGGTGCGAACTACGGTGGTCAGTTTGTCTAAAAAAATTACTTTACGCGACCAAATGCACTTCCCAGGAAGGCTTTTAAATATATATATATATATATATATATATATATATTATATATATATATATATATATATATATATATATATATATATATATATACAACACATATATATATGGTGTGTGGGCTATATATATATATATATATATATATATATATATATATATATATATATATATATATATATATATATATATATATATATATATATATATGTATGTATATATATATATATATATATATATATACATATATATATATATATATATATGTATGTATATATATATATATATATATATATATATATAATATATATATATATATATATATATATATATATATATATGTATATATATATATATATATATATATATATATATATATATACATATATATATATATATATATATGTATGTATATATATATATATATATATATATGTATATATATATATATATAGCCCACAGACCATATATATGTGTTATATTATATATATATATATTATATATATATATATATATATATATATATATATATATATACTATTATTATTGTATTATTATTGCTTTTTAATTTTTTCTTAAGTTTATTTACTACTTATACTATGTAATTGTTATTACCACTATTATTGCTATTTTCTAATATTGATTGTATAATATCTTTATTATTATTGTTAGTATTATTACTAATAATATTCCTTTTCATCGTCATCTTATTATTATTGTTAATATTATTTCTATAATTATTATCAATACTATTATTATTGTTATTATAATCACTTTTATTGTAATGTTGTAGGTTTTTACTTTAGATTAGTACTTGTACTATTTGTAAAAGTCCTTGAAATTTTACAACTTATTTCAGAATATATTGAATTGAATTGAATATATATATATATATATATATATATATATATATATATATATATATATATATATATATATATATATATATATACATATATATATATATATATATATATAGCCCACAGACCATATATATGTGTGTTAAATATATATATATATATATATATATATATATATATATATATATATATATATATATGTATATATATATATATATATATATATATATATATATATATATATATATATATATATATATATATATATATATATATATATATATATAGGGCACAGACCATATATATGTGTGTTAAATATATATATATATATATATATATATATATATATATATATATATATATATATTTATATATATATATATATATATATATATATATATATATATATATATATATATATATATACATATATATATATATATATATATAGGGCACAGACCATATATATGTGTGTTAAATATATATATATATATATATATATATATATATATATATATATATATATATATATATATATATATATATATATATACATATATATATATATATATATATATATATATATTATGTATGTATATATATATATATATATATATATATATATATATATATATTTTTTACTATAAAAATCAATATATATATATATATATATATATATATATATATATATATATATATATATATATATATATATATATATAGATTTTTATAGTAAAAATATCTTAAAAATAAAAAGAATTAGTTATTATTCTTTTTAAATACATTAATTTATTTTATGTTTACAAAGATATATTTTATCATTTAATTTTTAAAAATTTAGTAAACACTTTTTAGCTTAGCTTAGAGTTCAAATTTAGAATTTATTGTGAAGAGACCTGACAATGATTTTCATCCATGGAAAAAAAATCATAATAAATTAAAATCAACTTTTTAATAAATTACCCCATAAAAAATTTTATAATTATTGGACCGTCTCTTAGCAATATACTAACATTATTTTAAAAATAATGTTAGTATATTGCTAACAAAATAAATATTATTTTGTACTTGTTCTTCCGCGATCCCCAGTTCATAAAGAAGTCTTCTCTGAGCTGCTAGTTTTACTCCAAGATGATTATACTCCACTAATTCTTCCTGATTAAAACGAGGATGACTACAACATGTATTAGTTAAATAATTAGGAAATGTTACTTTGGAAGCTGATCTTTGCTGCAGCAAAAGTTCATTTTTGGAATTAAATAAAAAAACACTAAATGCACGGTGTAACTGACTATTTCCATCTATCTGCAGTTCATGAGAATCTCTTTTGCTTACTGAGCCCAACACTTTGTCATTTTTGTCAACTAAAACAATCTTTTCATTCATTTGCTGAATTTGTAATTCACTTGCATTACTAAAAATTCCCAGGGAATAACTGGAACTCATTCTTCGTGAAAGGAACTTCAACATACTTAAAATATAATAACAAAGTTCTAAATCAAATATATATTTTTAAGAATATATATCGCCGTGGATAGCCTACCGAAAGTCGGTAGCGGAAAAATAAAAGTTATCCTACCGAAAGTTTTTCTTATTGGTTGATAATATCACGTGTCAAAATAAACATTGTTATGCCGTAAAATGAAGAAAATTAAACTTTTGATTTTTAAAAAATAAAAACGAAAAATATGTAAAAAATTAAATAAAACTTTCCATTAAATAAATAGACTACCAGCCCATACCAAAACCCTTAGTCAATGCATGTGCACTGCACTGCGCCTATCCCCGTATTAGTAAATGTATGTACACTTCATTGCGCCTATCCCTATGCTAGTAAATGTATGTACTCTTCATTGCGCCTATCCCTAAATTTGTAAATGCATGTACATTCCTCGGTGCCTATCCATAAATCCATTTTGTCTATTAATGCATGAACACTCATTGTGCTATTCCCAGCGCATATCCCTAAATAATTTAGTCAATAAATAAGTATAATAGAATAAAACATAAAAAACATTAAAAAAAAACTTTAAAAATTTGATAAATATAGAAAAAAACATTAATAATTCATTTCATATCCCTTGAATGAGATACGTTCTTGTAACGATCACATACCATGCATTAACTCTACACATTATGCTACAGAGTAATGTAGACAATCTGTTTAAAAACAAATTTATTTAGCTATTTTATTGTGACACGTGATATTTTTTAACTAATAAAAAAAAAACTTTCGGTACGATAACTTTTATTTTTCCGCTACCAACTTTCGGTAGGCTATATATTGCGTGTATGTATATATATATATATATATATATATATATATATATATATATATATATATATATATATATATATATATATATATATATATATATATATATGTGTGTGTGTGTGTGTGTGTGTGTGTGTGTGTGTGTGTGTGTGTGTGTGTGTGTGTGTGTGTGTGTGTGTGTGTGTGTATGTATATATATATTAAATCAGAATAAAATATAAATTAAAGAATAAATCAGAATAAAATACTTTGTAGACAATAATTCCGTAGCGGCCGTAAAATTTATTCGGCCGTAATTTGTTTTAGCTGTTGAAGAGCAATATCTGTATGACGAAAGTAATACTCGAAAACAATAAGTTGGGTATATGGCGCGTATATCTTTTTAAATGGATAACTTATTCGTTTGTTTGTAGTTTTGCGTGTAAGACTACAATGTTAATGACAAATTGCGTTTAAGACAAATGTTTGATATCTAAATGTTAGATATTTTAAAATTTATTTTAAAATTTATTCCAGTCGTTGCTTTCTCTTATTGAAGTAAAGAACTTGTTTTGAAAATTATCACGTATATTTTCTTTTAAGCTTGTTTCTTTAAAATTTGTTATGAACAATTAAAACTTGTTAGATATTTAATTTGAGAAATTATTGGAATTTATTTATAAACACAAAATATAAAACTATTAATAAAATATCACAGCAGCAAAATAATATTACAAAAAGAAAAAACTTATATAGCTTGATAATGTAACCCGAAAAAGTAATCTAGACTTAATGCGTTTAAATAATTGAAAGTTATCCATTTAAAAAGATATACGCGCTGTATACCCAAAACGTTGTTTTCAAGTATTACTATTATCATCTGCATATCAGGGTAAATTAGGATTTAGTCGCTCTTAAACTGTTGATTGACAGTTGATTTCAGTTTTTTCAGATTTTATTTTTTAGGTGATTAGGTAATATCTAAAAAAAATTTTAAGGTTATTAAAGCAGTTATTGTTATTATTAAATATAATCTACAACGAAAAAAAACCGTGAAGCTGGAAAAGTAACCAATCCCTGTTAAGGTAGATCCAGTATAGAGGATTATCAAACAAAAACTAAATAAAAACAAAATAATCGGTGCATAGAGTCAGAGTTGTAAGCCCTCGGCCATGGCCTTGCCTTAAGGCCATAAATTAAAAAGTGTAATTATTTCTTAAAATATATAAAACATATTTATTTCTTAGTAAACATTATATTTCAGTTTTTTGTATTTATAAAAAATATATAGTGTAATACAATTGGAGTTCAACTTTAAATAGGGTAAAGTGTATTAATCTAAAAAATTTCTAAATATTCAAGAAGAATTTTATAGTAATTTAAAAAAATTAAAAAAAGTAATTTTTTTATAATAATTTAAAAAAATTTATATTATTATAAAATAAAATATAAAACATTGTAATATAAAACTGAAATTAAAATCTTTGATTTTTAATTTTGTGTTAATGGCAATTTTCTTTAAACAATAAAATACATATAGTATTTGGTTAACATTGCTGCAAGCTAGGGAACAAAAAATTGATCATTTGCTGTGATCGGACTTCTGCGGTGATGGTCTGAAAACTGAAAACCGCTAACCGACAATCACTGACAATCACCACACACCTCTAAACTCTGTCACTGCCAATGCATCACCGTGCACCGCAATCACCGACCGCTGTGGTTAGCTGATAACCAACCATCACCGCAGGAGTCCGATCACCACAAATGGTCGATTTTTCGTTCCCTACTGCAAGCAGCAACCACGTTTATGTTTTGATTCTAAAAAAATGGTTTATATTAATAACATATATTATGCATAAAATTGCGCTGCTTGCGCAATGTTATGCATAATATATGCACAACTGTTTCAAAATATTTACCAACGGATGAAGATGGTAGAAACGACTTCAAACTGCCTCATTGCAGTCCGGGAAAATTCACTGATATTCTCATGAAAGCTAAATCATTTGCAAGATTGGCTAATAACATCATATCTAAAGCTAACAAAGATATTAAGGAAACTTTTGAAACTGAGTACCCACAAAAAATAGCTCGACAATGAAAGCAGATGTCTGGTGGAAATTCCTGTGATGAAAGCAGACAAGAATTTCAGAACCCAGTAAGGCGGTTAAGGTTAATGCATTCTACAAAAAACAGCTTGACAATCAAAGCAGTTGCCTGGTGGAAATTCCCTGTGGTGAAAGCAGACAAGAATTTGTGGATGCTCCTACTACAGCAATCCAAAACCGTTTCAAAAGAAATAATGTTGATATCTTAAGCGATATTGCTTGTCTTGATCCTCAAAACTTCCATCTTCGCGTGACCATTTTCACAATTTTAATTTTCATAATTTAGCCAATTTTGCATATGATATGTATATGTATAATGACATTGTGTCTCCTTTGTACACAAGTTAAGTCATTCTTAGCAAAAATAGGCGATAACTGTCTCGTCCGCACCGGAGAAAACCGCAACATTCCTGTGAAAGCTTATGACCATCGGATTCCAAAAATGTAAACATTCAAATCATCTGCCTACGTCCGTGAAAGAAAATCAATTTTGAAATTTTTCCTTATTACACATTTATGTGAAATGACAGCATTTCTATTTTTTGCATTTCTACAGCTTTTATTAAATGTAAAAAACTTCTAACAAAGGTAAAATATAGATTTTTGCAATATAATTTTTTTAATTTTAAGTTGACAAATTTCAGGAAAGAGCACTTTTTCAAAGAAACTAAATCTGTAAAGGTTGCATTTTTGAGCCTCTTAATAAAAAAATGAAAAAATGCCCAATTCAGCTAGGAATCATGATAAAAACAGGAAAGTTGTTTGCCTCCTGTGTCTCAAAAAGGCAAACAGACAGCTCACAACGTTTTTGCATGAAAAAATTCAACAAGTCTACAGACAACAAATCAATTTTAAAGATGTAAGAGTACCACAAGAGGAAATCCTTTTGAATGCTTGATTTGTTACATTGGCCGGTTGAAATTGACTGAAAAGCACCCTCTTGACACTGACACGAAAGAAGAAAAGATTTCTGACAAAAGGTGCTCAAAATGTCTGTCACTAATTGGTAGAGGATTGACACATCAATGCTTTGTACCACAGTTTAGAGAGAATATAAGATTTCTGGCAGCCAATGATGGTAAAGTTGCGGAACAGATTGCATCTTCAACAATCACAAGCAAGGATGCATCTCCACATGGAACAGTTCGACTTTCACAAACCAAGGGTGGGAGAGCATTGCCTGTAACTCCAGGTAAACATTTGATTACATCATTTAAGTATTTTGGTAAAATACTTAAATGATGTAACCAATGCTTAAATGATGTGACTTAAATGCTGTAAAGTTAATTTTCATATGTTTTAGGACCATCAAGTGCAAAACAGCTATTCAAAGATCACCCAGTTGTAACTGCGCAAGATCTTGCTCAGGTTCAAATAAACACAGGGTTGCCCAATAATGTCATCAGAAAGTTTGCAACAACAATCAACAATGTAAGCTCAACCAAAGTCTTGGAGCCATACATTGTTAAAAAATTTCAAAACCTTGGGAAAAATCTTGAAGAGAGCTTTACTCAGGCCACAGCGGCATTTACAAACGCGGACAAAACAACTTCAAATTACATTGTTGCACATTTCAAGAACCTCAATAGTCTTATTGAAGATTTACTTTTGACACGGAAGATTTTTTCAAACCACGTCATTAAATTGGGGATCGACGGCGGTGGAGGATTCTTTAAAGTCTGTCTCGTAGTATGTGAATTGGATCCAGAGATGCAAAGTGAAGCTTCACCTCCAAGCAAACGCTTGCTTACATCACAAGCATCAAAGGATACAGGAGTGAAAAAACAACTTCTTGTGGCTGTGGCTGAAGAAGTTCAAGAAAATTATAACAATGTGAATGTCATTCTTTCCCTTCTCGACATTCAAGAGGTCAATTTTGTTATCTCTTGTGACATGAAATTGGCTAACATCCTGTGCGGTCTGCAGGCTCATTCATCCTCTCATCCATGTACATGGTGCAGAGCGGAAAGTTCTAATCTTGCGAATTGTGGTACTCCAAGAACTTTTGGCTCTCTGAAGCAGTCATTCCATGCATTCTCTGCAGAAGGTTCAAATACCAAAAATGCAAAGAAATTCGGAAACGTGGTTCATGAGCCTGTTCTTTCACTCGAAGATTCTGCATTGGCAATTGATCTAATACCTCCAATGGAATTGAATCTACTTCTTGGAGTG